CTTGGCATATACCAGGCACAAGTTTTTTAAGTTATGTTCCAGGGATTGCATTCCAAACTTTCTTAAGTTCATTAAAAAAAGACTGCTGATTCGTGGGACGCATTTTTCTGACAGATCGATCCAATTCATCCCACACAAGCTCAATTGAGAAAGGTCTGGAGACTGAGGGGGCCAAACCATCTTTTGAAGAACGTCTTCTGCTTCTTTTTTGTCTAGGTAACCCTGACAGAGCTTGGCAGAGTGCTTAGGGTCAGTGTCTTGCTGCAAAACAAACTTATGAGCCACAAGTCTGAGTCCAGATGGAATAGCATGGTGCTGGAGGATGGAGTGGTACTGTTCCTTCTTCATGATACCCTTTACTTCAAACAAATCTCCTACTCCATCATCTGCAAAACATCCCCATACCATGGAACTACCACCTCCATGCTGAATTGTGGGTGTAACACATGGTGCTTTCAAACGTTCACCAGTTTGTCTGCGGATATAGACTCTGAGTTTTGAACCAAACAGTGCAAACATGTTTCTAGTCATCGTAAGTCCAATTTTTGCAAGTTTTTGCCCACTCATATCTCTTTTTCTTGTTCTGTGGATGAAGTAGTGTTTTTTTGCAGATATATAACCCTTCAGACCAGCCTTTCTCAAACGTCATTTCACAGTTGTCAGAGATATGGGTTTCGACCTTATCATATTGATTTCCTCCCTTATTTTTGGTGCTGTCTTTGCTGATCTCTCTTATTGGTGACAATGCTATGTTTATCCTCTGCTTTTGTAGTAACTCTCTTTCGTCCAGGTCTTTTTCTATCATCATAACTTCCAAGTTTCTCTAGTCTCTTCAGAGTGTAGTGGACTCCTTTGTTAAACACCTTTAAGCGTTTTGCAATTTCTCTTTCTGTGTATCCTTCTTTCCTCAATGTACAAATATATACTTTTGTTTCTTTACTCAGTTGCTTCTTTCTAGCCATCTTTGCGGTAGTTTGAATGCAGTTGAGATTTATTAGGATTTTTGTATGCAGACTCTCAAAAGCCAAAAAGTTGAAGTGAATAATCCAACTGTGATTTGTTTTTTGCTTTTGCACTGAAGTTGTGACTCTTGCAAATGTTTTCAACCCTAAAACTAAGCACTTATCTTTTGCTGACATATAGCAATGGTCTGTTAACATCAATGTATATTAAAGGTAAATGGAGTAAAATGGTGCATTTCCATGAAAGCAACATCTGATCATGGAGTAAATAAATCCCAAAATAGATAAAACTAAAAAAAGGATATGTATATACACTCACCGGCCACTTTATTAGGTACACCATGCTAGTAACGGGTTGGACCCCCTTTTGCCTTCAGAACTGCCTCAATTCTTCGTGGCATAGATTCAACAAGGTGCTGGAAGCATTCCTCAGAGAGCTTGGTCCATATTGACATGATGGCATCACACAGTTGCCGCAGATTTGTCGGCTGCACATCCATGATGCGAATCTCCCGTTCCACCACATCCCAAAGATGCTCTATTGGATTGAGATCTGGTGACTGTGGAGGCCATTTGAGTACAGTGAACTCATTGTCATGTTCAAGAAACCAGTCTGAGATGATTCCAGCTTTATGACATGGCGCATTATCCTGCTGAAAGTAGCCATCAGAAGTTGGGTACATTGTGGTCATAAAGGGATGGACATGGTCAGCAACAATACTCAGGTAGGCTGTGGCGTTGCAACGATGCTCAATTAGTACCAAGGGGCCCAAGGAGTGCCAAGAAAATATTCCCCACACCATGACACCACCACCACCAGCCTGAACCGTTGATACAAGGCAGGATGGATCCATGCTTTCATGTTGTTGACGCCAAATTCTGACCCTACCATCCGAATGTCGCAGCAGAAATCGAGACTCATCAGACCAGGCAACGTTTTTCCAATCTTTTATTGTCCAATTTCAATGAGCTTGTGCAAATTGTAGCCTCAGTTTCCTGTTCTTAGCTGAAAGGAGTGGCACCCGGTGTGGTCTTCTGCTGCTGTAGCCCATCTGCCTCAAAATTCGACGTACTGTGCGTTCAGAGATGCTCTTCTGCCTACCTTGGTTGTAACGGGTGGTTATTTGAGTCACTGTTGCCTTTCTATCAGCTCGAACCAGTCTGGCCATTCTCCTCTGACCTCTGGCATCAACAAGGCATTTCCGCTCACAGAACTGCCGCTCACTGGATATTTTTTCTTTTTCGGACCATTCTCTGTAAACCCTAGAGATGGTTGTGCGTGAAAATCCCAGTAGATCAGCAGTTTCTGAAATACTCAGACCAGCCCTACTGGCACCAACAACCATGCCACGTTCAAAGTCACTCAAATCACCTTTCTTCCCCATACTGATGCTCGGTTTGAACTGCAGGAGATTGTCTTGACCATGTCTACATGCCTAAATGCACTAAGTTGCCGCCATGTGATTGGCTGATTAGAAATTAAGTGTTAACGAGCAGTTGGACAGGTGTACCTAATAAAGTGGCCGGTGAGTGTATATATAAACATATACATATCATGTCCATTGCCTCACATGACAGAGGCACAGATGGGCATTGGTAAGAACACCAGGAGCCTCATGTATCAACGCTGGCGGCACCAGAAAACCTTGCAGTCGCCAAGATCGGCGCAAACGTCCAGATTTATCATCGCGACAAGAGCGTCGGTTCCAGCGCAAATCCACGCAAAGTGAGGAGGTGGTGTAGAAGTTGGCGTTGAGCCGATACTTGCGTTGACGGCCCTTTGGCGACGCTGTGTGGTGGTGTTTGGTGACTCACTATGTGACAAGCGTTCACACATCGCAGTGGACCTGCACCACATCCCCGTGGCCGAACAGCACGTCGCCCCACATGACGAACCAGCAGCAGACGGAGGGATGCGAGCTGATCCCTGCTGGGCCGCCGTCCTTGCGCGGGAGAATCTCATCACCACAATGTGAATGGGTAAGAAGTGAATACACAGTTCAATGAGCCAAATTAATTTATTTTCTCCACCAGACGCTCGAGGACATTTACGAGCCGGTCCAGCTGCTCGTTGATCCCTGCGATCCCCCTGATGATTTCTTCCTGCGATTGCAGGACCGCCTCCGTGAGGACCCTTCCACTGCGTCCGGGTGGTCCAGCGGACACTCCACCGCTTGGCGGTGCGCTGTTGTTGGTGCTGGTGCTGGGGCCAGGGCAGGGGTGGCCCCAATGCCGCTGGTCCTGGCTGACAACTCCGAGCCGGCAGACGGGCTGCCGGCGGGGTTCCGCAAGCCGGCGACACGGCCGACACATTGATTTCTGTTACACAATGAAAGTATTGGTTCATTTCAATTCCTGCTTCTGTGTATCTGTTGCGTTTACAGCTATGGCAAAGCATGTGGACATTTGTGTGACACGCCACTTACCCTCCGGCAGGCTGTCTGAGTCGCCGCGGGTAGCGGCGACAATCCCTCCCACAGAGGCGCCCCCCATAATCGCCACCACCCGCTGCTCAAACGGCGTGAGGGTTTCCTCCCCCGGACCCCCACCTGTCTGGCTGGTACTCCTCCGGAGGGCAGCTGTACGCCGCTTGACCTCCACCTTGAGGTCCGACCACTTTTTTTAATCTACGCGGGGGTGCGTGTCTCGGAACCCACCGCGTTCACCCTCTCGCAAACTTTATCCAACTCTAAGCGTTTTCGTTTTGCACTGACGCCACTGGACACCGGTCACTCTGAAATCTGCGCTCAATTCCAAGCTGATTGGGATTTATCAAGGAAACACACGTGGCTTTCGGCACCCGCACACCTTGATACATATGAATTTTTTTCAGCGTGACGGACCTTGCGTGCGCTCGTTTCCGGTATGAGTCCCACGCAAGTGTTGATACATGAGGCCCCAGAGGAGCAAAACACCAGCTACTGGTAGACAGAACATTCGTTCGAGACTGCAAAACCAGACAGACCAATCTGTTACAAGAAAGCCTACGCCTCGATACCACACACCTGGATCCTGGAATGCCTGAAGCTGTACAAGGTCAACAAGACTCTAAGGGCCTTCATTGCAAACTCAATGAGGCAATGGAACACCACCCTTGAGGCCAACTTCAAGCCAATAGCACAAGTCTCCATCAAATATGGTATCTATTGAGGAGATGCTCTGTCCCCACTGCTGTTCTGCATAGGCTTGGATCCCCTCAGCCAAATAATCAACAAGAATGGCTATGGATACCAACTCCAAAATGGGTTCATCATCAACCACCTCCTCTACATGGACGACATCAAGCTGTATGCTAAGAGCGAGCGATACATCGACTTACTGATCCACACCACCAGGATCTACAGCAGTAACATCAGAATATCGTTAGGACTGGTGAAGTGTGGCTGAATGGTGCAAAAAGGAGGAAAGGTAATCCATATAGAGGGCACTACGCTCCCAGAGGGCAGAATAACGGATGTGGAGGAGAGCTACAAATACCTTGGCATACCACAGGCAAATGGCCACCACGAAGAAGCCTCAAGGAATGCAGCAACGGCCAAGTACCTGAAGCTATGCCCTGCCAATGATCAGATACCCTGCTGGAATAATAAGCTGGCCAAAAGAGGAAATTCAGGCCACAGATGTTAAAACGTGGAAGTTGCTCACCATGCATGGGGGGTTCCACCCTTAGTCCAGTATCCAGAGGCAATACACGAAGTGCAAAGAAGGAGGCAGAGGATTAGTGACCATCAGAGCCACTATCCAAAATGAAACATCCTATCTCCATGACTATGTCAGGAAGATGGCCCACAGAGATGGAGCGCTTAGTGAGTTTCTTAGACAATGGAAACTGACAGGTAAGGAGGAACCGGAGGAGCCATCATGGGAGGAAAAACCCCTGCATGGTGTAACACCTTTAGTCCTACTTGGAGAATTAATGGATACTCACATCTCTAGGTTCAGTAGGAATTGGGTGAATGACTCAAATGAAGAGGAGTGATTTGAACAGGTGATATTTTAATATCAATGAGAAACAAAAAAAAATAATAAACATCAACAACCTGGTATTTCACTGTTCAAAATAACAAGGCGCCAGAGAAGAAAAAAAATAAAAACTTAAATGGGACACTGAGCTCTCCTGCTCAGAATTCTGGGGTTTTCCGTTGAGGGGATCCGAGGTGTGTGTTCTGTGTATCAATGTCAATTGAATTTCTGTGTCTTCAGTGTCTTTTTACTGTTGCTACCCGGGTAGGTGCAAAGTGTGTGTATGTGTCTTATCTGCTCTCAAAGTGCGGGATTCGGAAGATCCAGAGTTGTCGAGGTAGGTGGATTCTGCAGCTGGCCACACTGCTTCACCCTCTCTCTCTATCTCAGACTCGCTGGGCTGGGCTCGCCATCCTGATCATCTCTTTCTCAGTTCAGACTAGCAAAGAAAAAAAACCAACCTACACAGAAAGTGCATAGGGATAAGAACCTAATCTGATTCTGTCTATTTCTCATGAGATCTCATCAGTTTCTCAGTTCAACATCCAAAATATATCACCAAAAACAGTGACTAATAACACAAATAAGCAGTTCAATTGGCATAAAAATGATCAAACTGCACCTTCTCAATGCAACTGCATGGAAACTTAACATTAGCTTAGCGGTTAGCATAGCGACTGCATGACTAAACATAAAACAAGGGACAAAATAGCATCCCGACTTAGCGATTAGCATGTCGCGGTCGCTAATAGCGTTAGCATTTCAAGCTAGCGATCTTTTTACAAGCCATAAACTACGGTAAAAAAGGCTTACAAACAACAGGAAAACATCGAAAGGCATCATATGGCATATTTAAAGCAACATAGACCACAATAACACAAGTAAATAGAACAATAAATGCGTTTTATTTTTCCGTCTGAACGGCTACCGAACTGGAAGCTAACTGTCTGCTGACTCACCGGAGTTCATGCATTTTAATACCACAAAGGGGTTTTCTCCTCGGCTCACAGCGTGAATACCGGGTCTGCCTGCGGACGTCTCTGCCGTTATCCGCGGCTCTGCTACTCTGTGTGTCTGTCGTGTTTGCTCGGCTTTAGCTACCGACTCTCTCGGTCTGGTCTGCTCTGCTGCTGTCTGGCTCGTGTCGTGAGAGAAGATGGCGTCTGCTCTGTGGCCGTCTAGCTCGTATCGTGAGAGGAAAAAATGTCTGCTTCACGGTGCAGATTTCACGCGATAGTTCACGCAGGTTCACTCGGGATACAGTGACCAGCAGGGAAATACTGCCACCTACTGGGAATTTAGTAGAATTGTTTAAATGACAAATACAGGGTTAGTAACCTGATTTTTCATGCTGGTTACACCCTCCCTCTTCAAATTAGCATGAGTCCCTTCATGCTCTGTTCCCTGGACTACACGGTAACTATCACCTCCCATAGTATCAAGGGCTCTATTGAAACTCTCCAAGAGACTTTTGGCAAAAGAGATTAAAGGTTTCCCTAACTCAGTGGTTCTCAAACTTTTTTTGTCATTCCCCCCTTTGGAGGAAGAAAAATTTCATTCCCCCCTACCCCAACAAAATTGTGACAAAATAGGCCATGTATAACTTTATTGACAAAACATTCCTTCTGCTGTATTTCTCAAAACTAGAGAACAAACGTGCAGCCTTCGCGGCTGCTGCTCCCCGTCTATGGAACGCCCTCCCCGACCACCTCAGGGCTCCACAGTCGGTGGATGCTTTTAAAAAAGGACTCAAAACCTTCCTCTTTCAGAAAGCCTACCCGGACTAATTTTATCTGATTTTATCTGTCGACTGTTTTTATTGTTTTGCCCTGTTGCTTGATTTTACTCTTATTGTTGTCTTGTTGTGCACTTTGAGATTTGTTTTCAAATGTAAAGTGCGGTACAAATAAAATCTATTATTATTATTATTATTATGTTGCAAGAACAATAATAATCAAACAATATCAAGTTGAGGAAGTACAAAAAATCCTGTGAATCCAAGAGCAAGATAGCAAGATAGCTTCATAATATTTCCTTGACTTGGCTTTTTGTTGGTTTGGCCTACCGTCATCTAGGCATGCTGTATTGCGGGCTTCAGCTTTTCTTTTCATCCCTGTCAAATATCTCTCCATTCTGTACTTTTATATACAATTCATTATTATGATCTGAACACAGTTGCTGGTTGTTACGGTGACAGGGGACAGCGCGGGTTGTCCGCCGCTAAAAAAATTCAGACATCCAAACATTGGTTCCGCGGCACGGACTCTGCACAACGCGAAACGGAGCAGCTTCAGCTCCTCTCGGAGCTCTCCACAGCGAGAGGAGAGGAGCAGCTGCTGGCATAGCACGGCGTCGGTGGTTATCTCCGCCCTGGTTTCTGAGCTAGTTCCCACCATGAATTAGCACAGCAGAAAGCTTCTTTGTACGCTTTCAGGAGGACATTGTACAGGTGGGGATAGCGGCATACTTAACAGGTGTTATGCCGTAGAATGCACCCCTGCCGTAGAATGCCCCCCTGCATCCCTTCCACTTGATAGCTTCTTAAAGTGGAAGAAAATGATCTCATATTTTAAAAAGACACAAGTATTTGATCGTGACAACTTTCGTTCTGTTTTTATGTGTCTCAAAAATGCACATACAGAGGTGTGCTTGGGTATATAAACTGTACAGTAAGCTGTCAAGCTAGCGAACATTATATTTTTGGGACAACAAATATTCCAAATCAGAGGGCTATTTTTTCGGCTTATCTGAATAGCCTGAATGAAATTATTAAAGGCAGACGCTTTTGAATTCATCCAGTGGTAAGGAAAACTTGAATTATTTTCACCTTGTTAAGTACTTTCAACCGCGCTCCCGTCGGGGGGCATTTTACGGCAGGGGTGCATTCTACGGCACAACACCTGACAAGTATCTCGCCTTGAGCGTCCACCACAACAAACGCTGCTTCTTCGCGGTAAAATAAAGAAACAGGGTTTAGGGCACTGGACTCCCCCTACTGGTGTGGCGAGTTCAGTATGGTGCATGCGTGACGAGCGTGGTGCCTGCACAGGAGGTGCCGTGCTATCGCGGGTGCACACCAACCTATTTGTAGCCGGGTGAATCGCGCCCCCCCCAGGGATGGCTCCGCGCCCCCCTAGGGGGGCGGGCCACACACTTTGAGAACACTGCCCTAACTCATCATAATGAAAGCGTTTAGGGGGTCTCTTGAACCTTTCAGATCTCCGTGTGGTCAAGTCTGGGTCGTCAGTGTCTATATCAGTCAACTGTCTATGTTTCTCGTCTTTGTCTTGGTCAATGATATATGTGTCGGTCAGCTGTCCATCTTTGTCACTCTGGTCTTGGTCAACCATGTTCGTCTCAACGTCTGTGTCAACAACTGCTCTGTCAACTACATCTGGGTCAACTACATCTGAGTCAACAACATCTCCGGTTGGTTTTGATTGACTTTCGCCCATAGCTGTGTTTTCTCTGTTCAGGTCTGGTTCAATGGCTTGCTCAACTGCAACCTCTGGTTCCACCAAAGCCAAGTTGGGAAACACAAAAGGTAAGTTGCCGGCAGCAAGCACACCCTGAGGTTCGGAGTGCGGGGGGTGAGCTGACGAACAATCAGCCTCTGGAGCTGGATTCTCAGGGGGATGCCACCCCGTAGGAAGCTCAAGGATTTGAACGAACCTTTTCTCAGGAATGACGGACAAAGAAACTGGACAATCGCATGAGTCATCTTCAGACTCTGAATGACTTTCTTGGGAGTGAAACTGAGACTGGGAGCTACTTGTTCTGGAACGGCGCACCTTTGGAGCGACCTGCTCAGGTTCCTCGTCATCTACCAGATTACTACAAGGCAGCAGGTGATCCCTATGCAGCGTTCGAGTGGGACTGTCTTCATTGATGGGTTGCACTGCATACACTGGTAAGTCTCCTTTTCGGTGCAAGACTTTGTATACAGTCGACTCCCACTTATCTGCGAGTTTGTGTTTGTTCCGCAACCGCAGGTTCCGAACGAGCACATGATCACCATCCTGAAGTGTTGATTCCCTTACTACCTTGTCAAACCTTTTTTTGGTCCTTTCTGCGACCTTTGCAGAATTTTTGACTACAATCTGATAGCTTTCTTCAAGACGTGCTTTTAGATTCTTCACGTATTGAGAATGACTTTTGGGAGTTCCACCCTGGACCGGTAAACCAAATGCAATGTCTACCGGTAACCTGGGCCGGCGCCCAAACATCAACTCATATGGGCTAAAACCCGTCACATCGTTTTTTGTACAGTTGTAAGCGTGGGTTAATGGTTTCACGTAATCACGCCAGTGATTTTTCTCTTTATCTCTCAGGGTCCCTAACATACTCAAGAGAGTTCTGTTGAACCTTTCAACTGGATTTGCGCGGGGGTGGTACGGACTGGTGCGTACTTTCTTGATGCCCGCGAGGGCACAGAGTTCCTGAATCAGCTGTGACTTAAAGTCTCTACCTTGGTCACTCAAGATTCGCTCTGGAAACCCGTAATGTATCAGAAACTGCTCCCAAAGACTCTTAGCCACAGTTGTTGCTTTCTGATCCTTCGTTGGAAGCGCAACAGCGTATTTCGTGAAGTGATCAGTTATAACTAAGATGTCTTTGGTGTTTTTGCTGTCGGGTTCCAAGGACAAATAGTCTATGCAGACTAGTTCCATGGGACGGGTCGTTTGAATGCTTACAAGAGGTGCGGATTTCTCAGGTGGCGTTTTCCTCCTTACACAACGTCCACAAGATTTGATCTTGTTCTCCACGTCCTTGGCCATCTTTGGCCAATAAAACCTCGAACGAATGAGGTCAAGAGTTCTGTCAAAACCAAGATGTCCCATATCCTCATGGAGCCAAGAAAGAATGGGGGACCGAAGGGACATAGGAACCACAAACTGGTAAGTGATGTCACCATCTGACTGTCGGACTCTGTAAAGGAGGTTACTCTTGAGCTCAAACCGCTTCCACTCTTTAAGCATTAGCTTAAGTTCCAACGAATCAGGAATGGGTTTGGGATTTGTGTCACTTCCAGATTCCAGCATGTTGATGACCTTCCCAAGGACTGGATTGGATCTCTGGTGATATTGGAGGTCTGCTTCGCTGAATGTAGGAATGATGGAACAACTTAATGCTTCGACCTCTCCGTACGCATCTGGCACTGCATCAGCATGCAAAGCCAACGACTCCACAAAGGCGACAGAAGGTAAGTTACCATCAGCCTCAACAAGATGACGACTGCACAAGGCGGTAACTGTGTCAGGTGGTAAGTCAAGATGCTCAGGAGAAGAGGAAAGGTGGTGTGAAGCAAACTGTCTGATTCGTTCTCTTTCCTCAAGGGACACGTCATCATCTGGCAGATCGTCATGAGGACGTCTGGAAAGACCGTCTGCATCTTGATTGCTCTTGCCAGCTCTGTACTTCATGTTAAAGTCAAAAGTGGAAAGAGCGGCTAGCCAACGATAGCTAGCGGCGTCAAGCTTGGCAGACTTCAAGATATACGTCAACGGGTTGTTGTCCGTTACAACCGTGAACACATTCCCATAAAGATAGTCATGAAATTTTTTGACCACAGACCACTTAAAAGCTGAGAACTCTAATTTGTGAGCTGGGTAGCGTTTCTCGCTGGAAGAGAGCCCTCTACTAGCGTAAGCAATAACGCGTAGTTCACCATCTTGCTCCTGATAAAGAGCGGCACCGAGCCCAGAGGTACTCGCATCGGTGTGAGGGAAATAGGGAAGTTTCGGATTTGCAAATCTGAGGACTGGTGCAGACGTGAGCTTGTCTACGATGATTTGAAATGCTTCTTGACAAGCTGGCGTCCATCGATCGGCGAAGGGCTCTTTGATGTTCAAGTACCCGGCAGAGGGAGGGGTTGCCTTTCAACCATTCCTGCTTGGTGGGTAACCACCTGTAAGATCGTTCAAGGGTTTTACTATCCGGGAACAGTCCTTGACGAAGCGGCAGTAATATCCCGCAAAACCGAGAAATGACTTAAGCTTGGTAAGTGTGTTCGGGCGTGGCCATGTGCGAAGGGCACTCACCTTCTCAGGGTCGGTCTCAACACCCTTGCTCGAGACAATATGCCCCAAGTAACGCACAGAGCTCTGGAAAAAACAACACTTCGACAGAGACAACTTCAAGCCATATTCCCGCAATTGCTGGAGAACATGTAACAGCCGTCTTTCATGTTCCTCTTTGGTGT